ATATATTTTTTCTCCAATTCCACTAGTAAAAATACAATATTTTACATGCCTGAATATTTTCATCTCTTTTTTGCATTATGAAATAGTCTAAATACGACTTACAAATCTTAATTACATCAGTAAACCTGTCTAATTTATTATGCATTAATGATATAATTAATTTATAATCGTTTATTTCAATAATAAGTTGAATAGAAAATTGGATGACGAAAATAATTTACTATGACTAAAATTACAGCGCTGAATCTGAATTAAATCGTGTAAAGTAACAGTCTTGTCAAATTTCTAAATTTCTACTAATAAATGGTACTTTGCTTATTACATTGGAATGAGTATCGCAACAAATATTTTACCTTCTATTTTCAATTTTAAAATCTTACATTCAACGATTCGAAATTCGATAATTTACTTCGGCTTTAAGCTAACTTTTTAGATATTTGAAATCTTAAATATTTAATGAACATCGCATCAAATAACTTTTAATATTCTATGAAATTTATTTGAAAATGATTTTCCGAATAAGCCTTTAAAACACTATGAAAATCTAAAATTTCTATAATTCTTTTGTTTTTGTTATTGTCCTTTCTTTTAACATAAGAAGCTTTAATAAATTAGTAATTTGAGGAAAATATTTAACATGTAAATTTCCATAAACATGAATTTATTTCTTTGTAATATAGCTTTAAAATGTTAATTAATTCGCTTCGTTGCACAAAGTGAGTGAAAAGAATTTTTTTTTAAATTGCTGTTGTTATTATTACTCGTTACTAGAGTAAGAAATAATAAGGACAATGGTGGTTCATTTCAGACGCTCTGATTAATAATTTGAAAACAGCATTTATGAAAAATAAAAACGAGAAGGCATTTAAACGAATTTCCGATTATACACGCTAAGACATAATATCTTGCAGTGATTACCGTGAAATTGGAAGAAAGGCAGGGAAACCCTAACGAAATTAAAAACTTAATGTCGAACGCTCGCATAAAGACTCGACAATTAAGCTTCAGCGTAAATAAAGGCGACAGGGCTAGGCATACGGCAGGAGTCACGGTGCCAGACTGCTCCTGAAAGCCGTTATTTAAGACTTTATTTACACTCTTAATTACGCGTAATTGTGACAAACCGTTTTTCCTCCCCTCGCTCAATCGACCTTTCATGCGCTGCTAAGCGCAAATATAACGCTAAAATGAAAACTCGCTGTGCTCTCCCCCATTTTCCAGATGAACCCGTGTATAGAAGAAGCTACGCGGTACAAGGAGACGTAAAATAAGCCAAGACGAAGATGAAAAAAATAATGAGAACGGGTGATACCAATTTGGAAATAGGGAGAGCCAAAAATAATTGATTCGATGAAGAATAGCAACTGTGCGTTTAACTATAGTGGCGGAGAGAAAAGAAATCGTCTGGTGAATCAATGGAGTCAGCTTTACAGGCGACAATATTCGTCGACAAGCGCGTGCTTATTCATATAATCGATAATTTTAATAGGCACGATGTCGCGACGATCGATTCAACTCCATTTACGAGCAATTTGAATGTCTGTGTGACGTAAAGTCGAGAGAACGGGAACTGATGCAAGGAACGCGTAGCATTTTATTTCTGTGTAAAAAAATCTGCAGTCACTTTTACTTTATATTACTTCTCAAGACTGTGCAGAAGCCAAGATTTTGTCGACGATCGTGTCTCCATCTTTCTCTCAATCTCTCTCTCTCTCTCTCTCTCTCTCTCTCTCTCTTTCTCTCTCTCTTTCAACGACACTCTCAACAACGATCATGAATTTTGGTTTTCAATATCTCAGTAAGCACTTTATGATCCATATCAGGCATATAAAAATTAACGTCGAGCTACTATTTCAAATTATTTTTAAAAACTGAAACTCGCCTTTTATGTTTCTCGGTTGCACGCTTCGGACAATCTTCCTATGATGTTTACGATTTTTACGTAACACGAACTAAACTTATTTATCAAAAACTTGTTAATAAATTATAAAATAATTAAATTATTGAATTCATGATAAATCTTGTGGATTTAGATATGATGATGAATTTCTTTTATAAACACATAAAGTTATAGAAATTCAATAAATGTGCTTGTAAACTACGATCTCGATATCCACGAATATTATTTCATCATCCATTATGCAATCCTCAGTGGGAAAATTAATCATCTTTAGACAAAAAAAATATTAGGCTACGAAGCAAATTGTAAGAGGAAAATTCTTAAATCTTTTCTTCGTAAAAAAAAAAAAATTGGGAGCGTAAAAGCAGTATCTTTTATAATGACAAGAATACATTTAAGCCCATTTTTATTTTTGCAAATCTCTCGTCAGAAGCGTGTGCAACGACGTGTCATTTTCATCTCCTCAAAGTGCTAGGCACCGTCAGGCCGATAATGAATATAAGGATCGAGTCCTTAATATCTACGATGATTATAAGAAAACCAATGCACTGATATAATGTCTGACATTCTTGAGAAGAAAATTAAGCTATAAAGTACCCTGAATTTAAATAAAAATAGTCCTAGCATAGTCGTATCAAAATTTTCCGCCCACAATAGGATAATTTTATTCCATAAGGGTTTTATTAAAAACTTGTCGCTTGTCATTAAAAAAAAAATAATATTGAAATTACTATGAAATAGAAATCAATAATGCGAATCAATTTTATATAATTTCCAATTCCAATTTCAGTTTCATTTATATATTAGGTATTATCAATCAGAGATTCTAATATGTTTGGCATTTCACATAAGTGCGCATGTTCAGGCATATACAAAATGGTTATGACTTTCGTTTAAAAATTTGGCTTACAAAGTCGTTTTCTTATAAAATAGGATGTCGCTGTTTACGCGATATTTTCTGCTGAAGCGATTCCAATTTCGTGGATTTAATAAATTTATCGATTAGATGTATTTATTACATCTAATATATTTAATTAGTTCCACGTGCAATTTATCGGTATAAAGAATGTTAAAGAATGTTCAATGCATAAATTCAATTATTTAATTTCTCGTATTCATATATTAAAATTGTAGTGATGTTGTGAGAGTTCGTATACAAATTTTGCATTTTTAATTAACGTTAACGCTCAATAAACAAGAATTTATTATGATAAATGCAAAAAATTTGAAATTGTATTCTGTATTTATAAAATAATTTCCATCGAGCATTTATAATTATAATATATGAATTATCATTTTATATTTCATTCCCATTAATAATTAATAACCTTCGCTATACAAACAAAAAAACACTTTAATTTAAATAATTATTGTAAATAATATTATTTTAGTAATTACAGAATATATTTCAATTACATTTGAAAATTGCATATAAAGATTAATTTTAACTCTTAATGAATGATAATAATACCATAATTATTAATATGTACTATATATATATATATATATATATTTCTTTTTGTTGTTGTATAAAGCTAAAAAAAAACATGCGCAATTATTAAAATTTAGTTCTATTAAATGCTTTCTTTATTCTTAGTTTTTATTGGATTATTCTTTTCTTTTTTATTCAGCCAACATCTTATTAGCTTTAAACTCTCGATGGGATTATATTTTCAGATATATTTACCACATTTACAAAGAGAACATCAACCATGACGAAATCCAGATTCAAATATTTAAATGGGACGCGGCGGGACGATTTAGTGGTTTAAAATAATAAAACTTACGAACTATAATTTAGTGTAATAGAACTAGCTTTTTATGTAATTATTTTTGAAGCAAAATATTAAAAAAAAAAAAGTATAATAATGCAGTATTTCATTATTTAAAAACAAATACTCTATAATATTATTCGGTAATAAGAAAAAATACAAAAACAAGCATTTTAAATACACAATGAGTGCCTATGAAAATATGATTTATATAATCTACCTTTTAAATATAATTAAAATCTATATGAATGTGTTATTTATGTTTTTTTTATTTTTTTTTTTTTTGTATTTAGCTACTTTAATAAAAATTTAAAAAATCTAGAAAATAACTTGGAATGTAAAGTGATAATATTTTTTTAAAAAATTTAGAAAGTAACTTTCTGTGTTGAATGATAATATTTTTTTTTTAATTATAAATTTTGTTTTTATAAATATTTCAGTATAAATTAAACAATATTTTTAATATCGGGTTCTATTGGGTATAAAAGCTACAAATAAGAGTAATAATTTTATTTTATAAAATAACAAAATGTAATTTCTTCGTTATTAAATTATTGTTAACAATTAAGAATAAAATACTATAATATTACGGGCTTCCAATTCTTTTGATATTCGAGCTAGAAAGATAAGATTTAAAATGCATTGCAATTAGCTATGGGATTGTCATTTATATAAATTATGCAAGAAATCTAATTATGAAATACTTAATCATTTGTATATTTTAAAATTGGTCGTTAGACGACATAGTGAAAAAGTGATGAGAGCATAAGTAAATTCTAATCCATTTAAGTCATGAACATTTAAGTTAATAAAAAAATTAAATTCAATTCAATACAATTTTTCCGAATTATTCGAACATTCTATTAAACATAAAATATATTTTTAACATACATATATATATATATATATATAAAGGTTATTAGATGACGTTAGGCTTCATTTTCTATAAATACCTCATTAGTAATAATCCAGATATCATAAATAATGAAGGGAACAAGGAAGAAAAGTTTGCTTCGAAGATTGAAATTCAGACGTAAGGTGAGCAAGATATCTAAATGGCTCAACATTGCATTGTAATTATAGATTAATCGAGTAGGACGTAAAATCAACGTAGAATCAACGTAGAAAGCCCAACAGCGACGGCCCGCTGCACGTGTACAATGTGACGCCGTTAATCGTGAAAGCTCTCGGGGGAGTTTGAGACGGGCCGGCTCGGCCAGGCAAAACGAAAGCAAATGGACGATGGTCATAGAATGATCTGGCCTTGGTCCAAAGCGTGGAATAGGCGGCGCGCAATAGACTAGCCAAGGTCCTTTTTTTGTCGGCAGAGCACCGGAATCCAGTGCCGCCGCGCTTCAACGAGCACATGAACCCGGCGCCAGTAAAGACCGGCGAGACGATCGTCCTCTCGTGCATCTCCCAGGGCATCCCGCCGCCCATGTATCTCTGGTTCCGGGAGTCGGCGAGCACGGGCCCGGAGATGGTCGGCAACTCGGAGCGCGTCCACGCGCGCTCGGGAGTCCTCGTTGTCCAGCAAGCGAGGCTCGAGGACGCCGGCCGCTACGTCTGCCACGCGAACAATACCGCGGGCTCCGAGAGGGTCGAGCTCGAGGTCTCCATTATCAGTGGACTGACGATTCGCGTCGCACCACAGCAGGTAAGACTCATTATATTGATATTTAATATCTATTAACGAATTGCTGACTCTCGCAGGTGAGAACACCTTTGAGATAAAACTTAAAAGAAGCTTGGGATTTTCGTTTTTTAAATATTTGTAGGGTATTGAGCGCAGGCTATTTAAATTTTGTATTTCGATAAATTGCAGTATAAAGCGGTCGAGAGTTGTTTGAAGAATTTTTAAATGTTCGTTTGCTTTGAATTATATTCCAATCTTTCGCGATAGCACTTTGAAGAACATCGGAGTCTGTCGGAACTTTGCAATCGTTAATTCAGAAAAAGTAGCATACGAAGAAAATACGTTGGCATGTTGGGGCAAGAAAAAAAAAATTTGTAATTTTACAACGATAGCTTGATGAACTCGTGTGTGTGTGTGTGTGTGTGTGTGTGTGTGTGTGTGTGTGTGCGCGCGCGCGCGCGCGCCTAAAGTAATGCAACAATCGTTAGAATTTAATGGAATAGAAGGTAAGTCGACGAGGGTGACGAAGCCCCGAGCCTTTTTATTCGCTTCTTTCATGTTTTTCAACACCTAGTGATTCCGCGTTGGCAGCATTGACGTCGCATTTAAAATGTCCTTTAGCAGTCAGTCGAGGCGACGCTTTCGGATTTCGTCCGTTCGCCCTGTCCCGCGTCGTCGTTTCAACGTGCGGCTAAATGCGGCTAAAGGAAAGTGCTCGCTCGGGCCTGAAACGCAAAGAGAAACAAAGAGAGAATGTAGACGCGGCCCAACCATACGACAGCTTTGCCTCTTTCTCTATCCAGCATTTGCCTTGATTTCATTCGGAAAATCACTAAAGGATGCCAACGTCATTACGAAACTGCAGCCCTTTTCTTCACGCGTAACGTGCACGCATTCGGCTGGATTGTAAGCTAAATGCAGCATGTGAAATGCGAACGTGACGTGCCATCTGTTAGATATATATATATATATATATATATATATATATATACATGTATATAGAGTGATAGAGAGTGATTTGTGAGGAGGGGGGGGGAGAGGAGGGAGACGTCGTGTATCCGTACGCATGTATCCTGGAAAGAGGGTACAGAAAATTCTGATTTAACACGGGCGCACGTATCACCGAATGACTGAGAACCGAGAGACGATTGCATCAGACCCGTCGGACATGAAAGTCTACAGCCATGGGATCGGTAATTACTATGGTTAAAAATTAATCAGATTCGAGTGTCGTAGGGGTTGAAAAAATGCGGGTAGATAGGTAGACAGCCAGTTACGGAATGAGATGGGCATGCTTTTGCAGAAATCCGACCGTTTGGCAATCAGCGTAATGTAACCATTCGATGATAATGATAATGATGTTGCTGTTACTCACGCTGCAGCCGCAATCGTATTCATATACGAATCTATAGTACGATAAGGTTAAGGATCGCCGCTCATGCCTTGCCTCTATAAACCCACACATGATTACATATTGAATAAAAAACTATGCAGAACAGTGTCTGCTCTTCATATGATTATTGGCTGGCTGGTCGATTTCTAACTATGGTATAAAAAAATCTAACCGCGTAGGTAATACACAAACGGTGATGAATATCGTTAGAAAGTAGGGAGGAACGGTTGAATGGGAATGCGAGGAGAAGGATGCGTGAAGGCATTAATGAACGATGAGTGCAGCATAGGCCTTGATTGAATGGAAATTTGAAACACGAGAAAGCGCGTGTGCGAGTAGTAATTAGGATATTTCATTAATAAACGTATTATCTTGAAACCTAATAACAACAAAAATTCGCAAAATTGATTTTAATGCAATATATATGTTTAATTGGCTTGCGAAAGCATTCGGACCAAAATCAATAATAACCTCGTTGAAATATTCGGAATTTAATATGATCATAATACAGCGGTAAAAGTCTTTCCGATTCACCATAGTCGAGTCTCGATTTTGTTCTCTCACTCTCACTCTCTCTCTCTCTCTCTCTCTCTCTCTCTCTCTCTCTCTATTTATTTCAGTTATACGACACTATTACATCTTTATGGCATTACGCACGCAAATGCACACTTACACCTCACATGGCAGTACCATCGTTCAATGAAAATACTTGAAACCATAAATATCCAATATCATAAAAAAGCTTAAGACAGAGATAAAAAAATTAAAAAAAAATAAATACACAAACAAACGTACTACAAGTTTAATGAGATATTATACTGCTCAGGAAGTAAATGGGAAATCATTACGAGATTTAGAGAGCTTTAACCGAATCTTAACATAATAAACTATAATCGATTGTCGTACATAATCGATGGCTCCTTTGCTCCTTTTTCTCAGATGGTTGGTAACATTGAGTAATGGAATACCCACCAAGATGCTACAATACCATTATTGAAATTCTAGTGGTAGGAAAGCTTTCGGTGACTTACGCGACATGAGAATATCCTTGGTAAATGTATATCTATAATACGCATAATACGTACATGGCAGATATTTTCGATACATCATATCCTCAATGGAATGAAATGCTCAGAGTGAGAACGTATATCGAGGAAAGAAAGAGGGTAAGCTGTAATCCTCGTATACAGTCGACGGGTAAACTTATTGAATATCCCTTTTTCACCTCCCTGACGCTACTCACATTCTAAAACCACATTATGTGCTTTTGAATGATTATGCCGGTATTATGCATCTATAGTAAAATGACGATAAAAGTATTGATAATTTACAAATGCACCTTTGCATTATATGCGTATTATCATTTAATTTATTTGATATTGATATATTTAATTTGATATTGAAAAAAATTATTATTAGGACGAATTAAATTTTAGCCACCGTTGGCCCTGCTACTTTAAAATTAGTAACTAAGAATAATGAAATACAATTAAGTGTAATTCAATTTCAATTCCATTATTTAATAAATCAATAATAAATCAGATCATGCTGAATGTATTTAAAGACATTTAATTAAAATTTTAGATACTTTTAGATACTACAATCGATTACAAATACGCCATTCTACAGTACTATCAGTATATTAATTATTTATCTACTATAGCACCGCAGATGACGATATATTAATATTATTAAATAACATAATTATTAAACATTATGGAAGAAATGAAATTTGAAATAAATGTGACTGCCAATAAATGCACGGTATCGTCGACTCGCTTTCTTTATCTATACACCGTATAAGGAACTTTCACTCGCTAACAGTTTCACTTGTTATCTCATAAATGAAATACCTGGAAAATTCAGTATTACTTTGAAAATTCAGTTCCATGGCTCATGGAATCCAACGCATTGCGGAAACTTTTTTCAATGATTTAAGTGTAATTAATCTCGTTTTATGATCGTAAATAAAAAATTGCTTCTTATATAAAACGGTGCATATTTTTTCCGATTTGATTTAGATAAGTGCTAAAACGCTTTAACCTTTCCCTTCATTCGCAGACTATTATGGTTAATTTTGCCCTTTAATGCTCAATGATTACACGAATGAGACGTGCCGTTCACGCGTATGGTTAAAGCCGATCGTAACCATAAAAATCAATGTAAACTTATCCCGCACACGCTATGCTGATATTTATCATCCTTAAACGCTGGTTACGTTCTACAGAAAAAATAAAAATAGTTGACGAATTACCGTGCTTTACATATCTCTGCGTTAAGCGCTGTTGCGTTCAACCAACATTTCCCATTAACCAATCACTTTTGTCAATTTTTTTCAAATTCTCTAACGACTGCGCCGAATAACAATCAACGAAGAATATCACGCAATCATATATTCCATCTCCGGTATAAGCGACACTAGACTATTAAATAATTACATAGGCTAAGATACGGGCAAACACGATCTCGCAGTAAGGCCAACTTTGATTGGATGATTATAATTGCAGGTGACGGTGGACCTTGGGAAAGACGCAGAGTTCCAATGCTCGGTACAGGGACAGCCGATGCCGACCGTATCCTGGGCGAAGGACACCTTGCCCATTCGCGAGGGTGCCTCAGGACGGACGAAGATTCTCGGTAACGGAGGCACGACCCTCCACGTGGCTTCGATAACGCGCGACGATAAGGGAATGTACCAGTGCTTCGCCAAAAACGACAACGAAATGGTTCAGGCTACCGCGGAACTTCGCCTTGGGGGTAAGTCGTGATGCTGGATTATACAGCCTCGACTTGGCTGGCAGGATTTTTCCAATTTTTAAATCAAGCACGAAAAGTCCGAAACAATGAGGTCCGGATGTCGCTAAATGTCGTAATAAATCTTTGATTAATTCATATTCGTATCGAGTGACTGAGCTACATATATGAGTAAATTGGTATATTATCGTAAATTCAAAAAGCCTCGAATGTCCTCTGGTTCAATAAATAATAATTGCGCAATAATTATGCAATGTAAGCGAAATTATAATTTACGATTATAATAAATAAATTTTTTTTAAAATGTATATATATATATATATATATATATATATATATATATATATTATCTACTCTAGTAATATAGTTTATTAAGGTTGATAAAGTAAAATGACTTTCTTTGCTTTCATTTAAGCCATCGCTAATATTTTCTAATTACAAACATCGACGAGGCATCAAATTCTAATTAAATAAATTACTATTCTTTCACAAATAGTTTATTTAATAGCATTATTTTGCAACATTATTTGCAATTACCATGTTTAATTATAATTATTGGCCTCTTTAATTAATAGATTGTACTATTCGTATAGCGGAACACTAGTTTAATGATACCATTAGGATCAGGACTTAATATGATTACGTGCCACTATTATTATACAAATAATAAATCATTATTGTTCTGTTTGTTGATTTTTATAATAACGATATAATATTCATATATCTATGACAGAATATGACAGATTTTGAATACATCGCGCAATGATATTTTGACGCGAGCTCGATCAATATGACCGCTATTAATTTGCGACTAATAGAAACTCCACCCCCGCACATTCTCATGAATTATACTCGACTTTATCGATACGCGTAGCTATATCGATTGTTGTGCAATTACGTAATAATCTCGTTTCCAAGTTAACAATCTATTCTAGTTAAGATTTACATATTTATTAGCTGCTTAAAATATTTTGACTAGCTTTATAAGCTTTGCCAGCAGATCTCTAATTATGCGATTTTTAATAATAATCGAGATTTATGCAACCAATTAAATATTCAGATTTAATATGATAAAAGAAAAATAAAAAACACATGATTGTATTGTTTATGGGCTGTACGTGAACTAATTTTATGATAAATATTATCGATAATTAGTTGCGTCCAGCACATTGGGATTGTTGGGACGAATTGAACATTTCTAGAGCTTCAAAAATTATTATAAAACTAAAATTAAACACGAGTACTACTAGGTCGATAATCAATATACATAATTTGAGATTTCGCGGATTCTCAGCCTCCACTCGGCACGCAATTATGTATTCCGTAAAGAATCCGAGCATTGGACAATCCAATCACACGTACACAGCATGATTAAACCATTAATTATCTCAGACTTATTCTCTTATTAATAATTCCCCGATTACAAAAGAACGATATACGTTTGTGGCACAAAACCCGCGTTCGATCAATCCGTAATAACCAATAACGCCAGCACATTCCTCATCAAGTTTCGCACGAAGCGCGCATTACCGCTCGATAATATAACGGCCCAGTTTTCCTCTGAGCGCGCAAAACAAAAAGGAATTATCGAGAAAAAACTCTCGCCTCCCGTCCGAACAATAGAGCCACGCCGGCGCGCATAAATCCACGCGTACGAACAATCGTGACGGCGGCGGCCACGGCGATGAGAGCGAAAAGAAGGGGGTGAGGGGGTGGGGGGTGGGGGCTGGGGGGGGGGGCTGGGGGCTGGGGGGGGCGATTGGCGTAATTCATATCGACAGGCGATAATGGTGGGCTCGGGCGTGGCTCCTGGGCCTGGAGGTTCGTGTGCGCGCGCTCGCGGCCTGATTTACACCGGACTCAAATTAGCCACTGCGGTTTATTGTCGGCCGTATAATTTGGGGTTAATTCAGTGGGCCATGGAGGGGTGAGTTCGGGCGTCAAACCGCGATCGATTGTTCGTGGTGCACTGCCTATATGCAGAGAAAGGGGTGTGCACGGGTCTTGTCATGCAAATATTATTATCAAGCCCATAATATTAGATGAGGCGAATCCTCAGCGGAAAACAACTGCGCATTGCCTCTTCGACTCTTACAGTGTCTTCGCGAAGTCGAAGCGGAACTACGAACTGATACAAGATGCTTGCTCCAGCACTTTTGACGAAACGGGGAATGCTCGTCCGTGAAATCGGCAACACGCGCGCGCGCGCGTGTGTGTGTGCAACGCTTTGGATACACAAATAAGCCCGGCTATTGCTTAGGTGCTCGCAAGCTTAGGAAAGTTGCGCGTGATAATTCAGAGGCCGACGTTAAAAGGTCCCGTGCTGTTCCTCTCTTATTTATTTAACTTGAAACAATAAATCTCTCAAATATCGCCGTTTACTTGGATTAATGGTTTTGATAGTAATTAACCAAACTATTTTTCATCTTTGAGATATTGGATTTTTACCATTATAACTATATGTCCAAAACAAACGTGCAACACATTTTCTTGAATAATTTATTAATATTGACGGTATTTGCTTGTTGTTGTTGTTATTATTATTATTGTTGTTATTATTATTATAAAAGATGAATAAATAAATAAGACATACGTTTGAATGTAAAGAGAGTTTCGTGTTAGAGAGTAAAATAAATGATAATTGATTGGATAATACGATGTGACGATTTTAGGCCGATAATGAGATATATTTTCGTTATATTAAATAAATAACTGAAGCATTTTTAATTTTAATTCTTGCAAATTCGATCAAATGGAGATATTATAAATTTTTAAACTAGCAAATATATTATGAATCATTTTATCCTTTACTAAAAATACATATTGTTGGTTACATTGTTAGTCGCATGAAAATATGGTAGATAAATATTATAGGTAAACAAAATCTTATTTCATTTGGGTTATATAAATTTTGCAAAATTAAAGTATGATCGTGCAGGCTTTGGATTTAAGGTTTTAATGCCATTATTGAACGTATCTATAAGGCTTTCTTTGCATAATTAATCAGTGAAATAAATTTTCATAAGAAAATTCAACATGTAAAAGCAATATTTTCTTACGTTATTTTCTTATTCTATTCACTGTTTAATGTTTGTTTCTTCCTGTTTACCGTTTACCTATATTATTTATACTTTATATTTGCAAATTTAAATATCTAATTAAAAAAGACGTTCTTGAAAGACATTGAAAAATAAAGTTTCTTAATTATAAAGAGAGTCGCGTTATAACAAATTTATTTTACAAGATTTATAGTCAATTTGCTTGCTTTTCCGGCAATTTTTTTTTTCTTTTTTTTTCTTTTTTTTTTTTTTAAGTAGACAAATATTATTAGATGAAAGTTCATTAAATGAATCTTTGAAATTTATATACTGTAAATATGTTTAACTACGTTGAAACAACAATAATATAATTAATAAATTTACATTAAAAAAAAAAGGGGGGGGGGAATTAATTAATTTTACAATATTTGTTGTTGTGCTTAAAAAAAAAACTAATTGTACGCGTAAATATATTTGTATTATGCGGTATTATCAATGTTGAAAAATTCATCGTTTATATTATCTATAATGTTTTGGTATTTTTTTAATTGAATTTATATAAATATAGAAAAATAATTATGTATTCGTATCATATATGCATAGATTATTTAATATATTTAATATTTCAATTATGTCATTAGATCATTCAATTATTCATTATTTAATATTTCAAATGTGTCATTACATGTAAGATGGTCATTATTTTTAAAATTTTAACAGCAGAAGAGTTAATGTGACTATTTGGCATTATGGAACACCTATAATACTGATGTTATAAAAATCTTCCCTTAAAGATAAAAATTAAGTAAATGAAATGATTAATAATTGCTCTCGTAGTTTCATTATAATGTTGGTGAAATTTAATTTTAATATTTAAATTTGCCATTCACTGATTTGAAAGCATTAACAATTAATTCCGAGATATTCTGCCAATAGTTTACATCTGCCACTCTAACTCAAGCTACTCCTACTACAATTATTTATTTCCGTATGAGTAAGTTTAGAGAAATATAGCCGTGAAGTAGAATATTATTGCATGTCTTCTCTATCTCACGCTGTGCGCTCGTGAAAAATAACAATATGCTTACTCGCTGGTAAACAATATGGAAATAATTGATTATTAAAAATGACGGTTATTGATATTATTGCATTATGTAAACAATATGGAAATAATTGATTATTAAAAATGACGGTTATTCTAATGTGACACAATGCAGTAAGATATTATGGATTACTGACGACACGATATATTAACACTATTAACGTTCGAGTTTACGACTTCGCTTGGGCGAACTTTTTATAAGCGGAAGTAACCGAAGCTAATGAGCAGTTTTAATCGACAATTTTGCCAGTGAGCTTACATAAAATGTTATCCTAATATTTAAATTTTTAATGTTTGTATAATAAGCAGCCATGTAATGTAAAATTACAATTTTTACGGACAAATTTTTCGTAATCTCATGCCGGCCATCCAAAACTGCATTCAAAAAACGTAAAGGAAGCGTCTCCTTATTAACATCGAGCGTTGAAAAAAGCGTCGCGTACATCCGGCGATAAATATATTGGAAACGTAAATAAACTGAAAATTTGGTGCTTTTTTTCGTATTTTTGGGGATACGAGGTCCCACATTATGGATTATTAATGATTTCGTAATCGTAAGGGCAGACTTAAGCCCGTACATGGAGGGGCGGAGCAGCCGTTATATGTTTCATTTACGTATTCAGATGCGACGCCTCAACTAGTTTACAAGTTCATCGAGCAGACGATACAGCCGGGACCCTCGGTATCCCTCAAGTGCATCGCCACGGGTAATCCAACGCCGCACTTCACCTGGACCCTCGATGGCTTCCCCCTTCCGCAGAACGACAGGTAGGTTTTACGCGCGCCACTGCTTCCTCTACGTCTTTACGTAGAGGAGACATCTGCACGGTAAGCGACTCGCGACCCCTTTGGCATCCTCTGGACGAAAGCCATGGGTGGCATTTGCTCAGGGACGTTGGAAGCAACAGCCAACGTTTGAGTAACGGCAGCCGCCCAGCAATTCTTCATTGACCATTTCGCATTACGTAACATCGAGTAACGCGCTTATAATGTAACAGCTTTGTAACAATTTCGCGTACTTGATTCATCAAGTATCAAGTAAAAATCATTCTCCTCTCGTAGAATTGAAGAAGAAGGAAAGCAGCGATAAACTTAGAGATTGAAAAATCGAAAATGTATAATTTGTGCAAAAGAGCCTGGATTGCGCTGCAACTTGAATAATAAGAAAAACTTAAGACTTATTAATATTTACTAGAGGCATTGTGAAAATACAGCACTGAAAGATTATACAAAATTGAGCGTTGTCCACAAAAAATTCGACAAATTTGAATTTAATCCAATTAAATTATCGATTATAGTGGTCTTTGTATCGTTATCACGTAATTAATTATCACTTTGCGACTGAATATCGATACAACTGAGAAACGAGGTCTGCAAAATTCTTAAATTATGCTCTCGAATAAAAATGCATTGTTAATATAATAAGTATAATTACAATCTGGGACGTGATTTCAAATAAACGACATTACGCTTTCCTTCCATTAGATTTCTCCATTCAATATTAAAAACATCAGCAATTGATAATAAAGTTGCGAATAGACGAAATAATTCGTTAGAATCTCTTCCCCCTCACCCCCCCTCCACACACACACACACTATCCCACTAAAGTCATCGTAATAATCACAAGATCTGGCATGGACGGATAACCATCAAATAATCAAATTCCTACCCCCCGATGTTCCTGACAATATCCCACCTAAATGAGTCACGGTAGCTCTCTTCGTCCTCGAGAAGAACCTCGCGCATACGATAAACACGATACGAAATAATTACTGCCCGTACCAGGTTCATGATCGGTCAGTACGTGACGGTACACGGCGACGTCATCTCGCACGTGAACATCAGCGCGGTACGCGTGGAGGACGGCGGCGAGTATCGATGTGCAGCGGTTAACCGGGTGGCCAAGGTCCATCACGGGGGAAGACTCAACATCTACGGGCCGCCCCATGTCCGACCAATGGGCAATTACGCGGCCGTAGCCGGGGAGACGACCGTCATCAAGTGCCCGGCTGCCGGCTTCCCCATCGGCGCCATCGTCTGGGAGAAGGGTAAGTTGGCCATTGAGTCGTTCTTCCTGCTCAACAAACCTTAGGTGGCCGCTAAAGCACGGACCTGACCCAAGGACGTGTATTGGTCCCCCGTACCTGCCTATCTGAGAAAGATCCCCGAATCCCAATCCCGAATACGCTGACCCGACGATAATATAACGTCCCCATATTATCCAGACGGCCAGGTTCTGCCGACAAGCCGTAGGCAGGAGGTATCGAGCAACGGGACCCTCACGCTCCACAGGGTCGACAGCAATACCGACAAGGGCGCCTACACGTGCACGGCCAAGAGCCAGCAGGGCAGGTTCGACTCGCAAACGGTGCACATCGAAGTGAAAGGTAAGCCCTGGTGAACGGACCTCGAGCACTAATGCAATGCGCGCGCGACGTCTCGGTCGAGAGAGAACGGGAATCGTCGTCCGTGTGAGCCTTTCTTGCAGGTGGAGCCACGGCCGATGGGACGTCCACTGGAAAGATTTGGATATCACGTGATGATTGACCATGGCCTTGATATTCCGAATATGGAACCTTGCTTCTTTTATTCTCCTTGATTTTACTTTATTTATTAGCCCAGTAGTCCGATCCTCGTTATCCTTTCGCAGCGCCCGACTGTGCACAATTGCGGCCTGAGGCCGAAACCAGCTGGCTTCGAGATGGTTTATAAATTACATTGCTAATGGTGGATGGGAAGGGGCGGAGAAGTGATTTTACGAGGGACAAATGGCGCCTACACAGTTTGTGTCGAGGCTGATTTTGTTTAATGGAGTTGAACTGTCGCTGGATCGCGGACGAATATATCGCGAGTATAAAAACGATTATAAAATCAATGCCTTAATAATAATCATAATTGCGGGAAGGAAGATGCAATTGGAAATGACGGAATCATATTAAGCTGCAAATTATTTCTGAAAAGTTTGATTAAATTATCGATTGTACCCATTATTACTATGCGTAAATGAAGTTTGTTCGTAACTTGTTCGTACTATTCGTTTCGCTCGTACTTTTAATCACTTTGTCATTAATAAGAAGGACCAAGAAGAAATCGGCGGTCTAAAAAATTAGGTTTAAAAGAAAGAAAAAGAAAAACGAAAAAAATTTTAATCCTCCTTATGAAATTGTTGGAAGCACTTTAAACGCTAAAGTATTGCACTTAACTTGATAGATGCAAAGTGATGGTGGCAAATTTAAGCCGCCAATCGCGTTTACTTTGTCAAAAGTTTTTTCACCTAAACATCTCATTATTACTATTACGATTTTTCATAAAAATAAAATTTTAATTTCAATAGTAAACGTTCTTTTAATAATTCATTTACAATTATAAAAACAACAAAATAAATAAAAATCATTTCCCATGTTACTCAAGCCTATTGCCTCTCTAACACACTCTCTCTCTCTCTCTCTCTCTCTTGCTTTTACGAGCAAATTGATAAACAGAATATATGGAAAAATCGTGTTTTAGAAATCTCACGTAAAATCCTACGACGACAAAAGTTAAAAATTATAGTTTATTATTCATTTAGTCATTTATTCATTCATTCATTATTTATTTACCATATAAATTTATTTATGATTGTTTATAAATGAAATAGAGCCCAGTAAGCAGTTTTCCGAGGTATTTCATTTTCATATATTTTCAACGGTCTACTTGCAAGAAAAATAGAAAAATGTATAGGAGAAAGTTTTCCGATAAAACGAACGAATGAGAGAAACTTAAAATAAATAAAGGCGTAAGGTTAGGTATGTATAGTTAGGTAAATTCAAAAAAAAAGAAAAAAAAAAAAAAAAAAAAAAAAGGAAAAAAACTTATAGGGGAGCCAGCCTTGGTTCTTGGTCGTCGATACACGACCAAATGGCAATGAAAAAGCACAGTGGTGGCGCTGAGCGAAAGGAAGAAATGATCTCGCGCAATGAGTGCACGGGATCATGTTGTGTTGACGGTGAATTTTCCAGTGCCCCCCAGAATCGAGTCCTTTAGCTTCCCGGAGAACATCCAGGCGGGCGCACGGGTCCACGTAACGTGCGTCGTGAGCGAGGGCGACCCGCCAGTGAGGATCGTCTGGCTGAAGGACGGCCGGCCCCTGAGCTCCTACCGCGAGCTGGACGCCGCCACGAACCAGATTGGCGAGTTCGATCTCGCCCTGAGGATAACCAGCGCTTCGCCCGCGCACAACGGCAACTACACCTGCTTGGCGAGCAACGACGCCGCTAAGGCATCGCGCACCGCTCGGTTGCTCGTTCACGGTACGCACACCACGCGACGTCCTCCTCGTCTCCGGGACTCTTACGCGTCGTCTGCTAGGTGGCGCTCGCGCTCCACGTTATCACTCGCCACGTTCATTCTTCCGATTATTAGCCGAGCACTCGGGCCTTATCATTGCGGACAACTTGACAGCTCCTTATTATACATAATAGTGCACAGTCGAGTTTGGCTCTTTCTTATATAAGCTACACGGATGTTACGTTGAAAGTTGCCAATTAAACGGACGTCCTCGTCCCATTCGTTAAAAGCATCAACCGGGATAAGCTTTTAAAAATTCTGTCTAAAATTGCCCGAATATGTTATTGATTATCGTGTTATTGTTGTATTGAAGTATAAGCCCATAGTAGTATATACTATTTATAGTTTGTATACTATGTGCACTATGCACATATAACATAATGAAAATCAACTTTCAACTGAGAAGTCTCGCCTGAGAAGGAGGCGTGACTTTACAAGATATTAAAAAGATTTTCAAATCAATCAGACACTTAGATGAAAAGTTACGCTACGAAAAGGTAAAATTTAATATTTAAAAACAAAAGAACAAAAAAAAAAAAGGAAAGAAAAAAGTGATGCCATACAAAGCCAAAAAAATGCACGAACTTTCAGCGCTTCTAAAATTTATAATTTCCGGAATTTTGATAGAAGCTTTTCGAAATTGAACGGGTAAAGTATCCACCTCGCGGAAAGTGCGACAAAAAAAATCGATATTATGACCGACTAATCTCATTACCATTGTATAAAATATGCGGATTTAAATATGATTATTAAAGAACTAACTATTGTGAATGGAATTGGAAGTAGAGTGTACGAATAATATCGCTAACGAACCAATTGAATGAATAATAAATTGATTAATTATAATTAGAGTATATTTATAAAAATATTTCGTATTCATAATTCTATCGTCGAATCCACTCTTTGGCATAATTCATTCACATATATCCGAATGCGGAATATAAAATTATATTCCGTGAAATTATTCTAAAGGTCCGGTTAAATATTTCGCCTTTCGCGCGAGCGCCACTTGATGAAAAATAAAAGGCAAAAATTGTTTAATGACTAAAGCCAATGAAAATCATGTTCACTTTGGTAAATTTATGAGTGAGAGTAGAGTTACGTAGGTTAGTATTTACGTTATAAAGAGTCACCGCGCAGAAAAGGACGACAATATTTCGAGAAATAAATTGTTGAAAAACGTGAATATTAGGAGGCAAGCTAACGAATATAATAAAGAAGAAAAAAAAGATAATAACCGCCAAAGGGCAAAACACAGAAATGAAAAGTCGCTGGCTTTGTTGAAGTGCAATAAGCCTGCAAAAGTGATTTTTCATTTTTTATTATTTCCCCTAGTGCCGTTCCTTCTGTTCACGTCACGTGTTGTGCCGACAACGAGAACCAAATGTAAACACAACGTCGCGCTTGAATCTCTCCATTCCCTTCCCAGACACACACGCACACACAAGCATACACACCACTCTAACTATTTGTGCCTTCCTCCTACTTGCGTACATCATCGTTTCGAATTACTTGGGCGGCGGTGTTTCACTCGTGTTTCCACTGGTCGGAGGCTTCCTACCAATCGACAATCGATTACGATAGCAAGCGGCTTTTTCCAAAAATGTGCGATCTCGTTTCACTCCTTCTCGATACTCCCCCCCCCCATCCCCCTCCCCCTCCCCCCGCTCATTCCGCTAACGTTCAACATTACCTGCCGTCGCCGCCCGCCTCCTTCTTAATAATCCGAGCGCGTGGCACGGCGGGCAAACATTATCACATGGACTCTCGTCAACCCCTATATTATTAATGCTATCATAACATAAATCTTTTTCTACACTAGACAGGCCACTGCAACATCGTACGAGCCACATCCACACTTATAAACATCGACCGACACACAACTGCACACGTGAGGAGCGTTCATCTTATGGCCGAAAATTTCGCATTTCTTAAAATTTCTCCACAGCTTGGTGACGCGTGCGCGCGCTCAGCAAAAAACCTTCTACAACCCGTCGAGGAAGGTGGTTTGTTGATGAGTATTGTGTATGTGAGGATGGTGGAGGGAGGTAGGGAGGGGGGAGGGGCCAAAGACGGAAAGAAGTATAGTGGACTCTTTGCTGCGCGCGCGCGCCGCTCGGGCACATCGAGCTTTGCCTACCCAAGGTTTTCTCGGTTTCTACGAAGGTTTTCACGCATCCAAGAATCCCCTAAAAAGTGCGTCTCGTTTTGCTTTCATTGTGACGCAGTGCCACCCCAGATAGCGCCCTTTACCTTTAACAAGGATTTGTCGGAGGGCGTGCGCGCCCAGGTGACCTGCGTGATCGAGAAGGGCGACGCACCCTTCGTCATCGGCTGGTCGAAGGACGGCGAGCCGATAGATAGCCTCGGGCCCTACGGCCGCTACGGCGGGGCCCAGCACATGCCCGGCCTCAGGGTCACCAGCATCGACGCGCATTCCAGCACGATCGTCATCGAGAGGGTGGCGGTCAATCACACGGGCAACTACACGTGCCACGCTCGCAACTCCGTCGCCGAGGTCTTGCACACGGCGGAGCTCGTCGTGCGCGGTAAACGGCCCGCGGCTTCCTCGCGAACCCCGAGCCTCAGCATCCCTCGCTCTCGCACTTTTTTTATCTTGCACTCGCACTTGCAGCGCTTACGAGCAGCAGCACCTAACGCCATTTTCACTGCTCTACTCAACTTTCACTCTCTGTGCGCGCGTGTACGGCTGTGTCTCGATGAAACTATCAATGTCACCAGGTCGGTACACACAGCTCCTGACATTACTTTCCCTTTGTTTGCTAATTCCTACATGGACTGGAGCAAATATTTTTTCGTGTACAGGACTATGCTTAATAGCCTGCTATCAGCATTTTTTTTTTTTTTTTTTTTTTTTTTTTTCATTTCCTCGTGAGATCGCCCCATGTATATTAATAGCGCGCAGTACGCCGCTCGGTCGCTTATTTAAAAACCTGCCCAACTCATTCCTTTTCGTTGGTTAAAGAATGGTTTCTTTTTCCATTGGATATTATATTGGCTGTCGGTGGCTCGATAAGACAGTTAGTCGCGCGAGTAAATGATAAAATCGTTGATTGACAAGACGCGATTTGATAATGCAGAGAGATAAAGTAACGAAAATAGCTGAGAATTATCGATCGTCGTTACGTCGATGTCCGCGTTCGCCGGTTATGCTTGAATTGTACAATATTTGTTCTCTATCCCGATAAATGAGGATAAGCGCACGTTGGGACTGGCTTGATGAACTAACTGGTCGAGTAGAGCAAGACAGCTGATCCAGCTGGTCGAAGTTCGAGAACGCAAGTAGCCACGAAGCAGCCGAAAGATCGGTCTCACCAAGTACTGCCCTGAGCAGCCACCGACAGGTTAATCGACAGATTAATCGACAGGTTAATCGACAGGTAGGGTGTACGGATATTCGCGTACCAAAACCAACGGCCAATGATGGCTTCGTTCGCACTCATTAAAAACGTGCGTGCATGCGTGCGGGCATGTGCGTGTACGCGCGTGTGTGATATGCCTAATTTATTAAAGGTACCGTCTCGCTACCTCTATTTCACACCAACAAAGCTATCAACATAATGCACCTCGATATCTGCAATCTTATTCTCTCTCTCCCTCTGCTCCGCTCTACTCTGCTCCGCTCTCCTCTGCTCCGCTCTCCTCTGCTCTGCTCTGCTCTGCTCTGCTCTGCTCTTTCGCACATGTGGCCAAAGAGGCGTGCACATGCACACGCGGACCCGCCCCACATACGCGCACACATTCGCTCTCTGTACTATGCACAAGCACTCTTTCTCCACCATCATTACCGGCTAAGAAAACAATTCGCCGATGCGCTATAGCTATGATTATGTGTGTGCGTCGCCTGCACTTGCAAAGCTTATACTTACAAAACCGACATATATTCGTGCATGTGTTACATTTTGTTGAAATTATTTTTAAAATGCAAATTGTTTTTCTCGCGATGGAATTGGGTTATCCCGAAGCATTGGTCGAATAATCGAGTTATACTTTTAATGCTTAAGTTCTCTCGTGCATACGTTTTATTAATATTGGAACCCCCGCTTATTGCTCATTAATTATTTATCGATAAAAATTAATTAAATCATTATCGCTGAAAAGTTTCAACTAATATCTTGTTTTTTTGTTTTTTTGTTTTTTTTTTGTTTTGATTTTTTTTTTGTGTTTTTTCTTACCCGTTAAATAAATTGCCTTTCAGCCATTAAATTTGCTTAATATAAATATTCAAAGACTAATTGCAATCATTAATTTAATAAATTCTTAGCTCTATAAAAAGAAACTTTATTAATTATAATTAATGCTACTTTAGGGCACCAAAAATTTAAATCTAATTTCAATAAATCCCGTATCATTTCTTCAAAGTTTTTCGTGCAATTAGTTCTTTAATCGGACTTTGAAATAGAACATAGGAATTCAAGGCTTATTATATTTAAATTCCTATAAAATATTAAATTAAATTTAGTCCATGTATTAAGACAAGTGTCCCGTGTCATTAAATAAAATTATTATTAATAAATATCTTTCATATCATACATTTATTCATTATAAATAAGATGAAAATCATTGACTTTCGGGTCAAACGAATTAAATATCCCAGGATAAATTTATTACTTATTACATCAGTCGGCTAATTTCTTTCAATACTCCTGATTAATATAAATCATGCGCAATGCAATCATCTAATGCCATCGTCGGCCGGTAATAATTGGTGAGAACATGACAAAAACTTTTAAATGCACATTATTTCACTGGCACATACACTTTTCTTTTCACGTATTTTCTTCACACAGATCTATAAAAATGCAATCAATAATTTTTTTTTTCTCGCACAATCACAGTGCACAATATCACTGGGTAAAAAAATGTCTGCACAGCACTGATTTATATGTAACATCAACTTGTTAAACTTCTTTTTCTCACTTTATAATTTATAGCTCGAGTTTAATTTATGTTTCTAAAATTTTCTTTCGCCTTACAGTACACGTTTCGTGGAATGTTTACAGTGGAAACGTCTAGGCAAATCGACAGCCAAATGTTGGAGTAACGCTCGTTGAAAAAAAAAAAAAAAAAAAAAAAAAACTTTCTATAACGATAACAATGATAAATTGTAGCGTGAAATTGAATTGAATCTAACGCTCATTTAAGATATTTAAACAGTCATCTTTTGTTCCTTTTTCTTTTTCTTTTGCACGGTCATTGCATACATTCGCTATAAAAAAAAAAAATATGCGTACAGTTTTACATGTCGAGTAACAAACTATTGAGATATTATGACTTTTATACTGTAAGCAAAAAATTGCAATTCTCCGATAAACTGTTGTTTATTAAAATTGATAAATGACAAGTTTAACGTTCAACTTTATTGGCTCGATATGCTTGGGAGAGAAGGGCCGTTTGAGCGATTGGAACGAGTAGCTAATTGGCATAAATTCAAAATCCCTATGTGCCTGTAATGGATGGGCGATGAATTTCACGCGCTCAATTATTACGAGGAACATTGTTAAAGGACTCGAGTAAAACAGCTGTCGCAAACGCGCTTTATACGTCCTGGCCTAGCTAGACGTATCCACTGATCCGAGCACATCCACGACAACGACAAGCACTCAGCAATTATCGCTGAGTCTCTGCTTCTCTGTCTCGGGCCCCGTTCCCGCAGTGCCCCCACGATGGTTAACCGAGCCCCAGGACGTCCACGCACCCGAGGGCATGTCGCGTCTAAGCCTCCACTGCCACGCGGACGGCTTCCCACCACCGAGTGTCACCTGGCGCAAAGCCAGCGGCAACAAGCCCGGCGACTACAAGGACATCGCCGGCCACGAGCACAGCCACGACCCCAAAATACACTCGAACGGCTCCCTCGTATTCGCCCGGGTGCAGGAGGACCACGAGGGCTTCTACCTCTGCGAGGCGGTAAACGGCATTGGCGCTGGACTCAGCAAAGTCGTCTACCTTACCGTTAACGGTACGTGTGAATAATTCTTTCCACTTTAATCATCCGCGCGCTCTCCGAGCATGCATAATTGGGCTTAGGATTGATATTTCCAA